TTGAAGCTAATTGGTTGGACTTTCAAAAAAGATAATGTAAAATTTTCTATTAGTCATTGTAAGAAAGGAGTTGTTCGCAGTATATACGTTACACGTACGTTTTTCATATGTGTAACATTGATACTGCCACTGCAGCTTCAGAGCGGTAATGGGGTTAAATATATCACAGTTTTTCTCGAAAACTACAACCAATTATCTTCATACCGGTACAAAAATTATCGTGACTTACATAGTAAATACGTAGAATAGAGCTCTGAAGAAAAAGATTTTTCATATATGTTTTACTAATTGATCTGCAGATTTTGTCGATACTTTTTTCCGGTAAGTGTACATACCGGAAAAGTTTTTAGCGTTGCAGTCTTAAATATCTGATTTTCGTATACATGCTGCATATTAAGTGTTTATGTTACAGTTTATTAACAATCAACAATAATGGTTTGAAAAAAGTTTTCTATATGTATCGTCTTATCTATAATCAAGATTGAATTGAGAGTAGTTTTGTGCGCAATGAATCTTAGTATTTAAATTGACGTTGAAAGCATCGATTTTGATAATTGTCTTGTTCAACTACTTGTTATTCTGCCATATTCATATTCAGTAATGTTTTTTTCGGATAATTTTAAAAAATTTTTTTTTCATAATTTTTTGATTTATCTTATAAACTTATTTCTATTAATTTAATAAACAGTATAGAAACAAAACGTATTGGCATAGACTAATCATAAATAACACAACATGTCTCTGTTTGGTGGGCCTGAAAAATAGCGAAAAAATTAATCTCATATCGTATTTGAGAAAGCGTATTAAAAATTGTAAAATTTTAGAAATCGTTGTATAGCGTAGTCCATAGGAAAAAAAAGTAAACCAATAACCGATTAATTGAGCAAACGCTTCACGGACATTTGAGTTCGAATGTGAGCAGCTAAACGTTTTTTCCGCTTGAGCTCGTTGTACCAAAAGTTTTTTACCGCAAGACCAGTACGTCCGCGAAGTCGCTTAGCTATGCGTGCCCATTCTGGTCCATAAATTTGATGCAATCTTGAGATGGCCATTTTTTCTAGTTTGCTTAACGGATCCTTAGTAACTGCAAAAATATTGTAAAAAACTATTTAATAATTTTACAATATGGATTATACTATAAAGTATAGACTTACTGTTTGGTCTTAGATGATAGTTATATCTGAATTAGATAATAACCGGTAAAATGATATTAGTTTATACATAATGCAAATTATACAGTTTTTGCTATAATAACATGTTTCTGTTATAAGCTCTTACCTCTCTTCACATTGTTTTCCACATCTAGCAGTGCCTAATTGAGCAGCAATTTTTGACCATCTTGGCCCCAGACGAACATACAACTCGCGTAAACGTCGATCTTCCTATTGACAACAATGGGATTAGAATATTTATAAACAGTGTTACTTAATAACGATTTATTTTTATCATTCTTGTAATTAAATTTAAGACTAAAAAAGACGACGTAATTGACTGAACATTTCATTATTGTTTTAATTAGGCAAATATCGAACGATTAATTTTACATTTTTCTGAGATAACATTTAATCGGCGATGTTACAAAGAAGATCAAGTTTACGAATATTGAAATGTGCTGTTCAAATCGATTTAGTTACTTGCAATAAATAGTATTAAGTTTACATAGTGCTTGTTTAGAGGCTACGCAAATACTATCTATAGTTGACGATTGAACACTACACACACAATCTACTAACCGATCTCGAATTTGTGATCGACCAAAAAGTCAAATCATCATCAACAGTAAGTTTGTCTTTGTGAAATACCATTATTAATTTTTATTATATACTTACTTGAGTGTTCCAGGGTACTCTTGAATGCGGAGTGCGTCCCTTATTATTATCCCATAATTTGCCATAACGAGTTGTATTTTCATTCGGTATAAACAACATTTTCGGAAACTTTAACACCGAGGCATATGTATTTTGATTATGTTTATCGTTAACATATGGCTTTATTATCAATTTTTTCCGTTTATATAAACGGTTGCCGTTATCATTTTCATCGAGCTTACTGTTGTTAATTGACCTTTCGTTCAGAGGACTGTCAGTATGTTCATTACGATTTTGAGTACAGTCAAACTCCATCTGCTGATTGTCAAGGATCCAATTTGCGTTTGCTTCGGTTTGATGGTTATAAGTATTAGTTATACAACGATTAGATGTCGGTACGAGTTTTTCTGGCCCTCGAAATTCGGTTGTTATATAGCTCATGACCCTCCTGAACTATTATGGTAAAATGCTGTATGTGAACATGTAACTTGTCTGATTCGGAAAGGCTTTTATAGCCAAAATGTTACCTTAGATCGCTTATTTATAAAATGCGTTTGTCTGATTACACTTGGATGTGTTGATGCAGGCTCTTAGTTTATATAGTAATGTAAGCGTGTTATTTGACGTTGTTCTAGACCATTTGTATATTCGGATATCTATAGATAATTTTGGTTCACATTGTTTTATTTTTACCAAAATAGCAGGCTTACAGATTTGTCTTATAACAATGCATGAATAGGTTGACTAATTAAAATGGAATACAGTCGTCACATGTAGTAATCTCACGTGAGGACAACAAGCTGGTAAGTCTTTGCTTTGTTAACCTTTTTCTGGCATTATCATTGGTGTACGTTTGGAGAAATGGAAAACTCCGAGTGGTTATCGATACAAAGGGGAAAGGTATTTTAGCTACGATGATGATTGACAAATCGGAATTGACATGAACTATAACTTAATATAAAGTACATGGAATTCTTGGCTACCAAAAAAATCAACAATTGCGCCATAGTTACCGTATCCAGTAACTTATTTATATGATTATTTGCGTACTTATAATAACTGTATCTCAATTATTTTCCGTAATTAGTCCACATATCTTATGAGTGTGTTATGCGCCAGATGATGTCTGGTAGGTGAAAGGCCCGCCGCGGGTTACGGACACGCTGTCGGTTTGCGGGATGTGATAAAGTTGGCGATCAGCATGGGTACCGTTCAGACCCCATCTAGTTACACAGCTGAACAAGACCAGTACATTGGTATCAATTCTGCAGTTTATACATTGCAGCAGCGATCATTGGTGCTCAATGTGAGTGATGGTCGATGTATAGATCGTAAGTCTAGTAAGCCGAACGATTTATGACGGCTATTTATTGTTATCAGCGACTGTGGCAGCCTTTTTGAGTCTTGTCGAGCTTTGTCAGCATAGTTGATTATCCGTTGTTTATCATACCATGATATATCAATCATTATAGTTAACTTTAAGTGGTATCACAAACAGTTTTTAGGGCAATTCCCAACTCGTCCCCCGTCTAAATGTCTGATGCAGAATATTGCCTTTATTGGCTAGAAAGTAAACGCCAACAGATTTAATTGGAACTGGGCACAATAAATAAAGAACAATGAGCTCGTTATGACAGGTTTACGAATAATCAAAAATTGCTATAAATAGATTACTTAACGATAAAACTTCTATGGTTGGTGAACAGAACACTTTAAACAAGTTGCCATGGCTACGCTTACTCCATTGTAATTACTTAATATGGAAAGCTTAATACATTTTTATACATATCATCTAACATATACTTTTTCTCATGACCTTTTAGCTATTCCAAATTTGTGTGTTGTCGGAATACGTAACGTTTGCGGGATTTTCTTAAGTTCTTGATTTCGGAAGATTAAAAAGAAAAACTCGAAAGATTAGATTATTATTTACGACGCATGTCATGTGCCCCTTCTTTATACCTTAATTTAGAAAAATAGGCGTTCTGTATCATCTCAATAAAGTCGGTTTCTTCCTTCTTATTCTCAAATAGGTAAAGCAGAAAGATATGTGTATGTTGCGCAATGCCATGATACTATTGTGCCGCGGTACCTGGCCTGCATACACCACTCTAATCCAGAATATTCCAAAGATGCGCCTACATTTAATGACTCTCTCCATCTGTACCCTTGTGTTCAGCAGTCATGTCTATAATGTAAAACAATTAGTACGCTTCAAGATATCGATCAATTAAAAATTTTACTTAAATATTTGCTTATTCGTTTTATACATGCTTGCGTTAATTGGTCGATGCAGCAGTTTCTAATCTGTTTTTAGCATATATTAACGTAAACCGTTATAGTGGTTAATTTTATTAAAAATTTAGCCCTGCTTAAACTGTTGCTTTATTTAGCAAGTTAGTTCCTTATTTGTTACTATCCGTATCAATACCGATACTATAATAATTGAACAAAGTTTGGCATACTCGGAAACATATCTCGGAGTTTTTAGTCCGTAGAATTTGGCTTGTAAAATAAAAATTCTCAAATCGGGTTAGGCTGCCTCGCAACAAGATTAATGTATTCTCAATCTGGTAGACGTTATTTTGATGTAGAAACTTGAAACGTTGTTATTTATTATTATGTTTTGTTGTGCAGTATCCTAATAACTTGCTACAAAATCGTTCTTATTAACAGCATCAAAAGTTCATGTGACCGATTTTTGTCGACGATATCTACTCCGCAAATTGCCTGATTTCGTGTACCGGTTTACTATATCATAATCAGGTTTCCTAAATTAATTTCTGCTTATCAACATCACAGTCGATCACTAACAACTTTGATATTTTTAGATAGGGCTCAATCTGATCAAGTAGCCACATGCTCGAGATTTTGGGCTCTAGAACAAGAATTAAGCCGTATATACAAAGTACTGTAGTATATCTACAGTAAATTGATATAAGCCCTACTGCACGTGGTACAGGCCAGATCATCTAAAACCGCAAATTATAATCAATCACATAATATATCCAATAAAATGCTTTAACAATTTCCCGGTTAAGAAACTAGCTTATTCTCTGCGCGCGAAAGTATATTTGTAACAGCATATTCCTTGTTGTATGTGGGTTTGGAATTTATGTCCATTCCGAATGGACATGTATGTCGGATTGGAATAGTAAAGACAACCAGGTAACAACATTA